TTACATTGTGAAACACTCTTAAAATATTTACTACAGGTCAATCCTTATAAGCAGGACACAGGTGAGAAAGCAACGACAGAATGAAATGAAACAGTTTTAATCTAAACATCCTAGATGGAAGTCTGCTGATGATGAGCAAGCAAATGTTTTTGAGCCACTATAGAGAAAACTGTAGTGTAATATTATCTTTTTAACTAATAATAATAATAATAATAATAAATAGAACGACACTGTACTGAAAGCACAGTAACCCCGAGAAACACAGGACCAAGGTGGTATGATTTTCATAGGATCACATCTTTGTGTGCCCTCATTTTTCCAAAACATGCACAAATGTCCCATGAGTCAAATATTCTTCTTAGGCAAAGAACCAGGTCTAGTATGTAGAGCTAATTGCCACCAAGAGGTTAAAATAGTTTCTTCTTACCCAAAAAGGAGGGGAGAAGGATTCTGAGAAAAGATAATGGGCTGTTGGGACATTTGATGGATAGAGGGGAGACTGGAGCAAAATTAGCTCTGGTTTCAGGAGGCATTTTGAATGAAGAACCATAAATGTAGCTATTCCAGAATAGAGGGTTTTTTTTACCAAAATAAACTTTTGGTAAAAGCATTAGATGATATTTTTGATTAAGTGCCTTTCAGATGGATGTACAGCAGCACATTTTCTTATATAATAGGAAAGTCGTCACTGTACAATAAAATAATATTTTTGAACTTTGAATTGCTCATTGAAGACTAGTGTTTTGCATATACCATAACAGCAAGGACCAGCCATTGGGTTTTCTATTATATTGTACAGTAATCACAAGTCTGAAAATAAAATATAAAGAATGTTTTCTTTTGTTCAGGTTGGGTGACTGACATACATTAAAACAGACAATGGCAGCATATAGTGCCTGCAAAGAACTGTATCGATAACTGGGATGGCATCTCTGCTACTTTTGATTGGCCCTTGGCCAGAGAAAAAGCTAGAAATTCTGGGAAACCCAGAAAACAGGTGGAGTGTGAGCCGGAGAACACGGGGTTCACTCTGATACAGGGGATACAGGCTTTTTTGCCTTTGGCATTTCAATAATATGCCAATAGTACATTCCATACTGTGGATAAAGGCAGGACCCAAACTAAAATTTGATTTAATTTCATTTAATTTTAATTAAAATCAATTCAAAATAATATGATTACTCCCTATGTATTTAATAACTTCCCTATATCACTTTAAAAACTTTCGGTGACTTATTCTGCATCCTGTACAGAGTTTATCTAGTGGTATGCATATTCACTGGAGAGAACCAGGGCACTAAATGGCATACTTTAAGCTGAAAGAAAGAATTGTATATTCAATCAGAAATTAGGCCTGAAACCTTTGCTAAAAACATGTCTAGTCAGCCAAAGGTTTAATAAGTACTATATATTTCACAAAATAGTAACTATAAATAGTAAGTGAGTTAGACAATATTTATGTATCTATAAATATAGGGAAACAGTAAATGGCACAGACACTTTTGTTTTGGTTCATATTACTGTTACTCTGCCAAATTTCTTCATTTCAAAGTTAGTTAACTGAAAATATGTTCTACTGAATTATGAAGATTGTTTTGAGCACCAGCTGGACCTTGGACTAACAGTTCTTGTATTCTTAAGAAAACCATGCAAAGCATTCACTGTTTGAAGATGCTAAAGCATTTATCCACAATTATTTTACTGCTATACAGAAATTATAATAATATTTTATTGGCTAGAGTCAAACATTGCAGTAAGTCATTACATGGTCTGTTTAACTTTGGCACCTATTATGTTAAGCTGTCAACCATGATTTACAAACTGCAATGTCTGGGTTTACACAATACATTAAGCCCGTATAGTATACTGGCTAAGGATTGGACTAGGAACGTTCCAAAATCCATCATGGAATTTCACTAGGAGGACTTTGGGCCAACCACTATCTTTTAGTCCAACATATCTCACAGAGTTATTATTTAAATAAAATTGGAAAAGGGAGCCCTCTTTTTGCCACTTTGTATTCTTGAAGTAAAAGCAAGATATAAATCTAACAAAGAAATAATTAACAGCAACCAAAGAAACTATATTAGGGCTTAATGCAATGTATGAGTCCAATCAGTGTTGAAATAGCCTACATGTAGGAGACATATAATTTATTCTAAAATTATACCCAAGAAATTATACCCTACTTCTTGGAATATATCTTGAATTAACCTACAAGTAAGGAACCAGGCAATTATACATATTCATTTGCATATCCATTTTCATTAAAATAAATAAAATGCTTAGAATTTGGGAATACAATCATAAAGTGCTGCCTTAAAACCAAACTCCTAAAATTTTGTATGTTGATAAAAACACTTTCGTTAAGAAGGACCCCACTGAAGGATTCCTAATCAAATGCATTTTTAATCACAGCACTCAGTCTTCAGCAACAGCTGGAGATTAACATTGTTACCAAGCTAGGCACAAAAGATTACTAGCTAAACAAGTAATGCCCATGGATATTTTTTCTTTTTTTTTTTTTTTACATAGCATAGATGTAATGTTAGACTTAGCATCAGACACAGCAATAAATCTCAGTTCTGCAAAAATTCAACCTCACATTCAGCAGTATTTGCAAGATCTTGCTGCTATCATAATTCTGAATGACAGAAGCAATATTGCACTGACCCATGGTTTAAATCCCAACCCTTTTCCTAGGATTCAAGTCAATAGACTATAAGCCATTTTTTTCCCAATCTTGAGTCAGAGACATCTGTTCTATGTTTACATAATGGTTCTGGCTGGCCTTAGCAATGCTAATTCCCATCTCACCAGCTTCAGCTCTTACAAGTAACTGAACAATTGTTTAATTGCTTTAATTTACCAACTCCAGATGAAGATACCAAAAAGGAAATACATTAATTATTAACTCTTTTCCTAAGACCCTGAGTAATACTATGTTGTTTTTCTAAGTTATTATTTATTTTCCAATAGTCATCTTGTACTTTCCTGCAGCTGCAAAGATTTACTGGAGGTGAACTGTGTAGCATGAAAGGGCCAACAATGTATAGTTTCCAAGCAGTTTGTAGATGGCCATAGGAAGGAAGGAAAAACTGGAGGCACATAGTCTATTGTTGCTGGAGAAACAGAACCGTGATTCTCTAAGACAGATCTGTGCAACTCATGAATGGCAAAGATGAGGGCATTAGCCATGTATTATGAATTGCCAAATATTTGACAACTACCACTTGATAGCTTTTTTTTTTTAGTTCCAGGCAAGCGTCAAGAACAATGTTTGAACAATGGAAGGCTGGTGGGATACCGAGATAATGGGTAGAAAGGCCTATCTTTAGAATCTAAAGACTTCTTTGCCTTTTAATCATTTCATGATTAAAATAGAACTAAAATGAGTACAAATAATAAGCTGCCACTTTACTTTCCTATCATGATTTCTTCATTTCTGAACCCATGGATATAACATAGTATGCATATTAAAGCTGTACAATTCTATAAAAGGCATGAGTACAAAGGAAATCAGAAGCTCCTTAACAAAGGTAGATGAAAGTGCAGGCAGCTTCCCACAGGAATGCTCACAAGCTTTTTTGGCAGCAGGCAGCTTATTGCCTGGGGAACATGGCATATCAGGCTGTGAAAAAAACCTGGGTAAGGAGGAATGGGCTGAATTGGATTGCTTTGTAATCAGCCTCCTCCAATATGACAGAGGTGAAGGGAAACTTCAGAAATCCATACTTTTGCTTCATATTTTAATGGCACAATCTGATGCTTGAAAAATATTCAGATAAAACAGAAGGAAAAAGGTATGTTCAGCCTGTCTACCTCAACTGCTGCCGTGCAAGCATAACAGCTAACACATCTCTCCTCTGTCCCTTTGAAGTTGTAGATTAACTTTTAAAAAATGGCATTAATTTGGTAAGCCATTGGCCTGCTTTTTGCGGGGGCTGGGAGGAGAACTAGTTGCATGATGGAGTTTATTTCTCATCCAGTCGTTCTGAAGGATACTACTACCCAGTGCAAAAACAGATCTTTTCGAGGTGTAACATTTTTTTCACTGTATCTTAACATTCTGTTCATCTGGGATATATCTTTGGTAATGAATAGAGAATTTAAATAAGCAATCTCTGTTTCTACCTCTGTTTAGACAAACATTTCTATATTGATAATAGTATACCAACGTGCAAATATTCTGGTATGGATATAAATAAAAATATTTTAATAGTGCTTCAAAGATAATATTTTGAAGGATACCAGCTGTTTTGTATATGACATTTAGTTCTAAAATTTCCACACGTGTTTAAAAAAAATCTGTTTTGCTCTCTGAACATTCACAACAATTAAAAGCAAATGCATTATAAAATTAATTTAATTATTCATCCAGTAGAAATACTTGCATTGTGAGCTGTTCAGATAATTTGTGTTATCGAATAGTTAATATAAATATAGTTGTAAATAGGATCTTATCTTGGATTTGAAGGGCAGACCAG